TAAGAAGCTAAGCTAACATGAAATACATGCATACCAAGTTACTGCGTGGCACTTTGGTTTTGATAAAACAGTGTAGTTCCCCTATATAAACGTTACATTCATAATCAAACGAGACAATCTGAAAGAGAATTAGCTATTTTTTGTTATTCTTAATGCTTGTCATCACGTTAATAAAATAAAAGAAGTACCGATACATAGCAGAACAATTGTGGCGATGTTCAGCTTAATAAGCCTTGTTCAACATAATTTATTTAGCTAATACTACAGCGGGCTGCAGGCGAACCAAGTCCGCGTTTCGCTGCATTCCTTGATCTCCAGTTATAACGCCGGACTCCACCGCCCGGAGCTAACGGAGCCGCAGGGGGCTCCGGGACGCCGGCTGGAGCTGGACGCCGGCTGGAGCTAGCCCCCTGCGGCTCCGTTAGCTCCGGCGGCCAGCACTGGGATAATTGGGTCCCCTTTTAACATTTGCTCCCGTTTAGCATTATGGGCGTCATAGCCATATACTATAAAAGTCTTACCCAAGGCTGAATCATAAACTAAACTGTATATATATATATATACATGTATAAATGGTTACGTCCTTAGCTGGCTAATAAGCTACATAACAAGCTAAGCTAACAAGCACACAAACACCTGCTAAAGGGGTTAACATGTATAATATTATCATTTTAGACTTCTTGGAAGTTCTGTTAGTACATTCAAGCGCACAGCACGACATTTTAATTGTCTGGTATTTGTAACAATATTCCCTAAAAGGCACAATCACCACGGACACGGCTAAAGGGTCAAGTACAGTAACTACAACTAACTAATGTTGTAGCCTAGCAGAGTGGACAAGTTGCTGTTAGCTGACAGTGAGGCACGTACCTGTCCATCAAAGTGACCACGCCCTAATTTATGCAAAGACTTTAAGACCTAATATAAATAAAAGGGTCATGTTAGAAAACAATTCACTCACAGATTCATAATCATGAAGGTGGAATCTAACTATATCCATAATAATATGTATTGCATCCAGGGGTAGAAACATGTTTTTTTCTGCTGTAAAATTGGGCATTTTAACATGGGGGTCTATGGAAATTGCTCCTTTCTGCAGTCATCGCCTATCGGCCAATATATGAACTGCAGTTTGTGGCACTTCCGTATTGGCGTCCCGGCTCTTCCCCAGAGTTTGCCGCTTGGTCTTCACTGACCCATATTACTTTAAGTATAACCTTGTGGGCTTTTGGCTATCAGCCCTGAAGTATTGTTTTGCTGTTTACTGGCTGAATTGAAACAGATTAATGTTTTGTATATAAATGGATATAGAAATGTTGTACAACCAGAAATGTATTTATTCAAGAGATGTATTTATTTTATAAGAGATTTATTTATACAAGAGATGTATTTATTTTATACAAGAGATGTATTTATTTTATTTAAGAGATTTATTTGTATTTAAGTGCTTAAAGGAAAGATACTAATTATTCCTTGTGACCTTTTACAGGTCAGGTTTTTTGTGCGGATATGTTTTGTTTGCCAGGTGCTTGTCGCACCTGATGACCTTTTCTGGACCTTGATGGCGAGCTAAGATTGGAATAAACCTACCCTCCCTGCCACATGGTGTGGTAGGATTGAACAGAAATTATTGAACTTTACCCCGGGAACCTTTTTGTTTTGTCTTTTGCCTTTACTGGGCACAACCCCAGAAAAATAATCATGTGAATGTGATAACGTATATCTTGAATACAAATATTTTGTTTTGGAAAGCATACATTGTTTCAGTGTTGTTTTTCACACACATTGAGCTCCATAGTCGTTCCTAGTTCTTCTGAACATCACTCGTTTAATTACAGCTAATACACATGCTACAAAATACATCTTTAACTATTAAATAATATAAAGCATTATATAGCTCCAACAATTTATTTTCCGTGTTGTTTTTGAGTCTTTAAGGGGGTCAAAACAGGTCACATGACCTGTCTCTTACTCTTAGGGCACCAATGGTGGTGAAACACGGATTGCAATACTGTGATTCACCACCATTCAGCATAACAGTTAGAGGGGTGTTGTTTCACTCTTGGTAAAATATTCTATGGCAAAAGGGGAGAAAGGGCAGCACAGAAGAGTTAACCAAACTAAAATACGTAGTTTTTTTAATTAAAATGTCATCACGGCCTGAAAAGACAGCTATTGTCAGCCTTCGGGAGAAAACGCCACTGTGTGAAGAGGATTCCAGGATCACAATGACTCAAGAACACTGTGGGTCTGTTCTGTCCGTTCTGCTTGTGCTCTACATCAGAGCCACGAGCAATGCAGGAGTCCAGCTTTAAAACCAACAGAGTCCCAGAAGATGTGCAAAGAAAACACAGTGATAGACTAGAACAATGGAAGAAACATATGTTTCTTTACTGCAGATATAATGCACAGTTCTTTGTCTCTTTATCTTTCTTTCTCTTGGAACCGTTTAATTACATTTTTTAGGTTAAGATTGTGATCTTAAACTTGCTTTCTAATGCCCATGCTTTTCTTTTCTCTCATGTTGTGAAGTAAATTCCTCCTGTGCTGGGGCTGCACTCTTTATTCTGAACACGTCTGTTTTGTTCCTGCTCGATGTCTGCCTGGCCCAGCTGTGTTTTGAACAAGAAGGCTTAGAAAGAGGGAGTGATGGGGGAAGAATTTGTGACTATGCAGTTTACCACTGCGATTACTATGCCAGCAGAGACCGAGGGCCAAGAAATGGGCACCAGGGTAGGAGAAAAAGGACAGGACTTTTGTTGTCTGGGTTATGTTTTACAGGCTGTCTCAGAGGCATTGTGCTTCTGTGTGCATTTGTTAAACACACATTACAGCCTCTCTGTGGCTTACCCTGTTATTGGAAATCGAAAAAAAATAATACAAATTGTCCTCAATATATACACCAAATATGCAACTCTCCAATGGGAGGAATCATACCTCATAGCCAGGGCCGCCTTAACCTGCCATCAAGCCCTGGGGCTGATTTTAGTTTTGTAGCCCCCTGAATGGATTCTAACAATAAAAATGTGTACAAATCTGATTCTGTCTACAGGGCAAATGTAGGCCCTTTTCATTAGTCTCAGGAGATATGACAAGTTATCCCTCTCTGAGCCAGATAATACCACAATATTAACATTAACAGAGGACCAAAATCAGTTCAGCCAATATTTATATAATAACTATTTAAACAACAAATGAAAGTAAATTATAGCCTCCGCAGGCTCTGTGATTAGATCACACACACACACACACACACACACACACACTCTCACCGTGCCTGACCTGGATCTCTCCTCGTCGTCCTCTCATGCTCCTCCAGCAGATAACGTTCCTCTGTCTGTTTGTCCTCTCCCTCTCCATCGCTATCATCAGAACCAAACAATTTGTTTGCCATTTTCTAAATCCTAAAATAGGTTAAATTAAAAATGAATCGTCATTTTGCTTTCAACTGTATTTCTTGCAGCCAACTCTGAAAAGTCCTGAGCCAGCCAATATTTCCACACCTCCTCTTAAGTTTGACAGTCCTTTACACATTATGAAGTGAACACTTTTTGTTGTGGGTGATGAGATGTGATGAGATTTGGAGGAGCCTAGTTACAGTCCAAGCCAGTGAACCTTACAATAACTGGACTGCTTTTATGTCTCTAGCTGAGGATTTCAGCTTCACCTGTGCTGGGGAAGGGAATCCCTCTGAAAATCCTTGTTGGTGTGCCAGAGGAGAGGATGAACACTGGAGGTGTGGGATGTTCTGTGGCTGAGCATGGAGCAGCCTCCAGCCCCCGCATGACCGCATACTATAATAATATGTTAAACCACAGTATATTTTCAATTATTTTTAATACATTTTCAGCTGTAACATATATCTCCGATGTGGAGAATTAAGACCAAACGTATCTGCATGGATAGATACTCAGTTTTAAAAATAACATAATATATATGATTATTTTAGGTCATTCCTCATCATTTAAAGTCCCTAAGCTGAATTGGGTTTTCAGTTCAGATAGTCAAAGGAAAGGCATGTTCATGGCTGCAGTCTATAAATACAGCCATCAATAAATCATTCAAATGTGTGAGGGAGACATGAACAGGAGAGAGACGTGTTTATATTTACCTGCTGTCCATTTGTGTGTGTGTGTGTGTGTGTGTGTGTGTGTGTGTGTGTGTGTGTGTGTGTGTGTGTGTGTGTGTGTGTGTGTGTGTGTGTGGGGGGGGGGGGGGGGGGGTGTGTCAATGGTGCAGACGAGCAGCAGGTACAGTTGGCCGAGTGCCGAGATTCCTGTAACACTGACTCACATGGGCTGATCATTATCTCCTGCAAACACACACACACACACACACACACACACACACACACACACACACACACACACACACAGAGCATGGATCAGGGTATTGTATGATTGCACAAGCCCTTCCCCCTCTCCAGATCTCCTCTCTCTCCCTTTCTCCCTCATTTGCTCTCTCTCCCCTCCTTCTCCCTCTCTCTCCCTCTCTCTCTGTCACACACCCACACATAAACGCACTCTGCAGAGAGCGTCGTTTCAGAGCTACGTTTGGAAAATAAGAGGTAGGAGGTCACAGAGAGGAGTGTATCCCTTTCAACCTGCTGAAATGTTCATACCTCCTTCCATTATTCAGTCAGATGGTGCTCCCCCTTCTACTGCACTGCTGCATATCGCGCTGGATCCTAGTGTGTGTGTGTGTGTGTGTGTGTGTGTGAGCCATTACCGCTGCTTATCAGAGGGACCCTCGGACCATAATGGATATCTATTCTAGGAAGCTGTCACCGTGGGAGCAGAGAGTGTGCTGGGAGGAGAGCTGTTTGGACTGTGAACACTCCTCCTCTGTCTGCCTGTCTTTTCTCCTGCAGGTTCAATGAACTGACTGACAGCCTGTAATTGCTATTTTTCTCACAGTAGTTGTAGCCGTGCTCTGGATGGTATTTCTGTTCCTCTCATTCTTTCTGGGATGGTTCCTCACTTTGATTTTTCCCTCCACAGATGAAAACGAGGACACAGTGTTAGGGAGTTTGCCGCTGCTCAGTTTCCGAGTCGGAGGAGTGGAGCCTTCGGATAACCTCACCCGCAGGTTTGCCTTTAAGGTCAGTAACATCCTGGTGGAGGGGCAGAGGGTGCTGGGAGGTCTGTGTGTAATTGCATTTCATGCAGGGGAGGCCACATCATAAGTGCATATTGCTTTTTATGTTTAGGCCAAACCTTAAGAAATGAATACCGTAAGTAGGAAAGTGTAAAACATGTTCCAAAACAGGGGGATTGGAGGGCTGTCTGTTGCTCTAACCATAGGAGACTCATCCTTGTGCAATGTGACCTTTATTGCAAAAGCAGGATTTATGATGTTTGAACTTGTTCCTTGGTTGCATCGCTGTGCTTTAGTGAAGGGTGTTGGTTTGGTTTTAGTTGATTGATAGAAGCTGACTGGCATCATGAGTCACATGATGTTATTTATGGTAGTTAAGAGCCTCACAGGGACTCTGCAGGCTCTCAGTTACTCAGGTTGGGGGGGTTGATGTTGTAGCTGTGGCGGAAGCCTACTAGTAGAACTTGTATGACTTTGGGTTTAATATGTGATCAGCTAAAGAGCCCCAAATCTTTATATGTTGTGTTTATTATGTTGCTGACATTGAGTCATGTCATCATTTCATTTCTCATCTACAATGCACCAATCCCCTTGCAATTTGTGAAACCTAACATTATTTAATATTGTGGATATTTAGTGAGAGTGGCTAAAACATTAATTTCAACCATTGACATTCTTAGCCTCTTCCTAAACAACCCAGACAGGATCTGCTTAAGTTAACAATTACCAACAACATTCTGACTGATGACGGCGACCACGGCTCAGAGTCAAATAGGCAAACATAGACCCACTGAGGCACCGCTCAGTGGGTCAGTGGTTCGATCCCCAGCCCCTGCGGTCAACATTTCAAAGTGTCCTTGGGCAAGAAACTGTATTCCAAATGTCTATGGTATTGAAGGTCAAGTACCTTTGGATAAAACCAGCAGCTTAATGAAATGCAATATCATTAGTGAATGGATACATTTTTCACTTTTTATCTGCCACCTACAACCTATTGACTAGCATCATCTGTCCAACAAGTACAGTAGAACCATGTCCCAAATCACTGTGTAGTCCAAAGACACAGGGCAGCTTATCTGAAACATTCATAGACCTTTGTTGGGAGGTAATAAGACAGAAAGTATATTAATTGTATACTTATTGTTCCTAAACAAATGAAGGCTGCGTCTCCTCAGAGCTCAGCGGAGACAGAGCTCAGCGGAGACAGAGCTGTGTGTCAGGCTGAATAAAGATGAGACCATGAGGATGTAATGTAGGTTAGCTGAGTCTGAATCTGCTGAGTGAGGCTTTATATAAGTTGGATAGTTAGCCTTGTTTCCTCATCAGCCTCAGCATGAAACACAAACAGTGACAGCTCTCTGTCTCCAGATCTCTGACTATATCGCTCTTTGTTATCTCTCCCTCTCTCTTTGCTGCCCTCTCGCTCTCTCACTGTTTGCCATTATCATCTTTCTTCACTTTTCAGAACATTCAGTCCTTGTTGTTCTCTATTTGCATGTCCAGTGCAAGCTCTGGTGCAAAGTCCAGGGCATGTACACAGTGTATTCCGGACACACACACACACACACACACACACACACACACACACACACACACACACACACACACACACACACACACACACACACACACACACACACACACACACACACACACACACACACACACACACACACACACACACACACACACACACACACACACACACACACACACACACACACATTTATATAATATTGTACACACACACACCTGCAGTGGAGTCAGACTGAGTAAATATGCACAGTGTGGCTTTGAGAGCCTGCCAAGGGTTAGGGTGCTGCCTGTTAGCTCATGTTCTGACTGGACTCTGTACTGTTTCCTGTCCAATGTCACTCTGGAGTTAATATTAACAAACCTTCAAAATCATGTTGCAAGTACAGAGCAAAAGCATTTCAGCTATAAATATATTGGATACATATAAAAATAAGCACTACACCTAAAATATCTCAAAGAAAGATAAGCATTACAGACTTTGACAAGGCCTTGGTATCAAAGCTATTCTGAAGAAGTGAGAGCACACTGATTCTGCCAGGCTCACAGTGAGAATCATCTCCTGTCTTCACAAAAATAGCAGATGTAATTTCCAAAATATTATGGTAAGATGGTTTATTTTTTATTTTTGACAGTCAGGCTAAACCTTTTCCCTGATTTCCCTGCTGACACATTCACTGTCCAGTAAATCTATTGTAAAACTCTGGCCAACGTCAAGAAGCTTGTTCATCAGACAGCCTGCCTGTGGACATCAAATGAAATATGTGCTCACCCGTTGACCTTGGCCCTCTCTCAGAGCATGCTGCCACAGTGAAGAGTGTTGACCTCTCTCTGGGGGGCTCACCAGGCTGTGGTGATAGTTGTACACATAAGTGTATTTTTTTTTTTATATTCATTGCGTTGTATTTATTCTATGCTTCTCTAATGTTGAAAAGTTATAATGGCAGGTATGGTGTGATCCTTTTTGCCCCTTAATAATAATGATGATAATAATAATAAATTACTTTTCCTGAAGGAGGTCGATGAGGTAGGTCGGGGCCAGGTTGTGGAGGGCTTTGTAGGTGATTAGGATAATTTTTTTTATTTGGTCCGGTATTTAACAGGGAGCCAGTGTAGTTGGATGAGGATGTGGTCAGTTGATTTGGTGCGGGTGATGATCCGGGCAGCAGAGTTCTGTATCATTTGTAGCTTGTTAAGAAGTTAGGGGGGGAGGCCGGAGACAGCATTGCATTAGTCGAGGCGGGAAGTGACAAATGCAATGACCTGGATTTGAGTGCTGGATTCAGACAGGTATGGCGGACTCTGGAAATAGGTGGAAGAGAGCAGTGTGGTTGATGGTTTTGATGTGAGGTGCAAAGGAGCGGGAGCGCCAGAGTGACATCGAGGCTCTTGACTTGAGGGTATGGAGAAGCCATCAATGATGATGTTGGGAGTGGTGGAGGATTGAGCTTTGTTGAGGGGGGTTATGGAGCTTCATCCAGCTCCTGATGTCCTGGAGGCAGGTGGTGAGAGAGGTGGGGGCTGGACAATGTTGGGTTTGGTGGAGATGTAGACCTGTGTGTCAGCCGCATAGCAGTAGAAGAGGACCTTATAGTGAGGGAGGGCAGTGCCAAGGGGAAGGAGGGAGACGATGGAGAGGAGTGGACCTAGAACTGATCCCTGTGGAACACCTTGTGAAACAGCAGAGCATCTTGACTTGTGGTTGTTGAGTTGAAAATATTGTTGTCTGTCAGCGAGATATGATGTAAGTGCCCCCCCAGTCCCAATGTCAGCCAGGCGTTTGATGAGTAGTGGGTGGGAGATGTGCAGCTGTGAGGTATAGGAGGATGAGGATGGTGAGCAGTCCTGAGTCAGCTGCAGGAAGAGGTCTCATGTCATTCTTTCTTCTGCCTATTCTTTTTGAATAAGGCTGTTTGTTAGTTGCAGTGCTCTCTTCCTGCTTTGGTCTCTCCAGGATGGCAGCATTTGTATCTGGGCTGATTTTTCTCATGTCCCTTTCAGATTGTCTTTATCTATTTAGAAAAGTATAGATTTTTTAAATATAGCAATGTATATGTTTGAAACACTTAATAATTCATTCAGAACTCTATACAATCTTAAAATAAGAGAACTGCCAAAAAGTAAATGACACATTTTCTCTGTGTACTTCTTTTAGCTGGGATCATGAGCATTTCAGAAGTGAAAACTAGGTCACAGAGCTGGAGAACCCTGTCATAAACCATGGTCCCCAGGCAGCCACAGGCCAGAAATAACAGCAGTGGCCCTCATAACCCACATTACTTAAACCTTCTTCATGAAACCTTTTTCATCCTGTGTGAACATTGCAGTGCCACCAGGTTGATTTGATTTAAGGTCCAAGGGAATCTTTGTAAAAATAAGCATGGGAAGTTACCACTAAAAAGACTAAGCAGAACATTGTTATCACATTATCTGTGTTGTGATGTTCCCTCTACAACCTGGAGAAGCCCACAGTCCACAGTTTGTCTTTGTAGAAAGCAGCAGGTCACAGAATACACTGTTTAGTTTAAAACACTCAACACGCTACTTCAAATAAAATAAAACATGTAGGGTAATTATAAATTAAATAAAAATTCAAATTCCCAATGTCCCATGATTACTTTTTAATGGCACTAAATGTAAGAATAGAGGATGAAATCAGCTGCTCTACAGGTCACAGTGGTATCAGCGGTTGATCAAGTCAATGCGGTGCAGCGATGTGATTCTTTGTCTGTTTGGCCCAAAGTCATACAACAAAAAACTCAACGCTATGTGGGAAAGGGCTTAAGTGGAACCTTTTTATTTTTTTCAGGAAGTGGAGTATAATTTCTCTGTTTCTCTCTTTTCTTTTCAGTTTTGTTTCAGCATGTTTAATCACTGCTTAAAGGGCTCTACACAACATGCCAACATTCACACACACTATGCGAGTTGCACAGGATACAACATAATTGTAATTTTCCACCAGAAAAAGCATTTTAATTTGGATTTCTTGGGATTCCTCCCATGTTCCTGGACTTTCATTCCACATTTTCAGTTATTCACTATCCTCGCCTGTAACTGTTGTTTATTTTGACATCTGTAAGTTAAAAATGTAATTAAATATACCATTCACGTGCCAAAGGAATCCACCATAATGATTGTGCGCTTGCATGTATATTATTGGTAAATGCAGTGCCCTATTTGATGTTGTGTTGCAATGTGGCAAAAGTTAACAAAGCTCATATCTTTTTGCAAGAACCATCTTTGTCATTTCCTAATCATGAGCCATGGGAGCATGCCAGTGAAGAGAGTTCTATCGGTGAGAGTTCATAGTGTTGGTATCTACAGTATAGCTAGCTCTAAAGAGATCGTAGTGAAAAGCAGTGTGTGTGTTACTGTTTTCCGAGGTGGACTCGTCTTGTTTTCGTCGGAGTAGAGGAGCTCCCTCAGGGTGTCTCAGAGGTGGGGCGGAGCCTCTGTGGTCCTGCCCCAGCA